GGTGAAGAGACTTCCTGTGAGTACTCCATCTTGCCGTGTGGCTCCTGGCAGGGCGGTTTGGGCACCCTCCTCGCCTTCCTCAGCATCTCTTAACCGATTTTCCCTAATTCCAGGCTCCCAAACCCACCGATTCTCCTCAGAAATTTCGCGTGAGGACAGTGGTGAACAGATCGTTGGTTCAGGCCACACCATGGGTGAGTTGGTCAGTGTAGGAGGCGGGAGAAGTTCTGGGTCCCTCTCCCCCAGATATCAGCGTTCCCCAGTTAGATTCGGTAAGGAGGGCCAGAAGACTTTTTCACTCTCCTGAGAATCGGTGTTGAGTGGACCCTGAGACCCCCATCATGGTTACACTTGGAAAACCTCCCTTCCTGTGGTTGGTCATGTTGTTGTTATGTGCCGTCGAGTCGGAATCGTCTCCCTCGTTGAGGTGAAAGACCTGAGTTAAGTGGTTCAGAGTTTGGGGAGTGGTGAGGGTCTCCTAGGGTGGGGGTGTTAAAAATTAACATTCTTGAGATTCATACTAGAAGTGGGGCAGGGGCTGGGAACCCTTATATCCTCACACCAGCCATTCGCGATATAATGCATTATTCACGTAGAAGTTGCTAGAAGTTTGTTTTATGGTCCAGCATATGATCTATTCTGGAACGGTCTATGTGTAGTTATTTGCAGAGTTCAGTGTCAGTTAAAGGCGCTCTGGTGGTATAGTAGGAAAAAAAAAAAAAACTACTGTCGAGTCGAATCCGACTTGTAGCGACCCCTCCTTGGGTTTCCGAGCGTAGTGTCTAAGGCGCTTGATTGCTAACCAGAAAGCTGGTGGTTCAAACCCATCAGCCACTCCTCGGAAGGAAGATGGGGCAATCTATTTCCGTAGTGATACCGCCTCAGAATCGCTATGAGTCGGGTGCGACTCAACGGCACATAACAACAACATCTCTACTGAAGTAGATTGCCCAGTCTTCCTTGGTTAAGGCATTTGGCTGCTAACCAAGAGGACGGTGGTTCGAACCGACCAGCCATAGCAGTCTGGGTCCGTAAAGATTTACAGCCTTGAAAACCCAAAAAGGGTCACTATGAGTCTGAATGAACTCCATGGCAGTGAGTTTGGTTTTGGTCAATTAAGTACATTTTTTTTTTCATGTCTTCTGATTTTGAGCTTACCTGTTTTATCTGTCACTCAGTTAAAATGTGACTGTGACATGCCCATTTCTCCATTTACTTCTGTCAGTTTTTGTTGTGTTATTTTGGCCCTTTGTTAAGAAGTGCACATATTTAGAATTGTTTTATTATTATATTCTTGTGGAACTGAACCTTTTATCATTATGAAAGTTCTCTCTTTACTAATGTTTTTGTCTTAAAGTATACTTTTTATCTTATTAATATGAGTATACCAGCTTTCAGTTGCAGTTCAAATTACATCTCTTTCACCATTTTTTTTAATTTGAAATTTTCTATATCATTAAATTTTACATGTGTGTCTCATAAGCAGCATTTGATGGAATTTTTTAATTTTTTACTTTTAGTGGTGAAAACATACACACCAAGACATTCACCAACATAACAATTTCCACATTTACAGCTCAGGGACATTGATGGTATTTTTCATGTTGTTCCACCATTATTGCTATTTTTTCCAAAATATTCCACCACCGTTAGCAAAAACTCAATGCCCCACTAACAAAAGCTTCCCTTTTCCAACTCCCTCCTACCCCTGGTACCCACTAATAATAATAATAATAATAATAATAAATATATACTTAACTTCTGATATAATTTTAGAAAAAAATTTAGTCTGACAATATCTAACTTTTAATTTTGAAATATTTAATCTCTACATTTTGTGCAATTACAGGTATAAATTGGTTTAAATATGGTAATATTTAAATATGATTTAAGTATGATAATATTCAAATATGATTTAAGTATGGTAATACTATTTGCTTTTTTATTTTTATTTTTGCCTATTTTAATGTCTTTCTCCTCTCTTTTGAAATAATTTTTTTTACTCTTTGATTTCTACCTCATTTGGCAAGTTAGACATTCTCTTGTCATTCTCATAATCTTTATTCTTGAAATTACAAAATTCATTGTTAAGTATAAATTGCTTCTTTTATACCCTCTCAGAAAACGGAGACTGTAAACACTTTTTTTTTCTTGTTTATCATTTTTAATTGTACTGTTTGAATATATCTCACTTTCTTATGATATTCTCTTACTGGTTGACATTTAGATTGTGGCCAATTTTTTGCCATCATAAACACCTCTGCAGTGAATATCTGTGTTAACTGAGCACCTGATTGTGCTCAGTTCACTTAGAGAAACACATTCCTATCTTTGTTGTCTGTCGAGCAAGCATTATCGATCCAGTTTGTGGATGTTGTTGTGTGCTATTGAGTTAATTTTAACTCATAATGACCCTAAAGGACAGAGTAGAACTGCCCATAGGAGCAGATCGTGAGGTCTTTTCTCCCATGGAGCTGCTGGTGAATTTGACCTTTTGGTTAGCAGCCAAATGCAGAACCATTGCACCACCAGGGCTCCTACATCCAGTTCACAGGTGCAAAAAGTAAGCAGAGATGAGCAAAATATTCTCGTCACTGTAAAGCTAGCAAGGCCCAGAGCTGATTTGCTTTTGAGGCTCAATCCTTGCCATTTCCACCTCCTCATGGCCACCTTCACAGGGAACAGGGAGCTTTGGATATGAGCTTTTCACACTTTAATGGGCACATGAATAACCTGGGAATATTGTTAAAATGCAGATTCTGATCCAGTAGGTCTGGGGTGGAGTATAAAATTCTGCTTTTGTAACAAGCTCCCAGTTGATGCTGATACTGTTTGTCTGAACTACATTTTGAGTTGGATGGCCTTAGTATAGGTAAAATCACAATTATCCAGAAGATTCAGAAGACTTTTTAATGGGTGATTGGGAAGTTGAGGAGGGACACATTTGTGGTGTGTGTCTTCAATTGACCTTCAATTTGATTGGCACTTTGACTACACACAGTATGTGTTTGTTGAGTAGATGAATGATTAAATGATTCTCTGGCTGTCAGGATATGTCAGGCATGCTGGCAGGCAAGGTCTGAAGGGGTCTTGACTGCCAAACCCAGTGAATGGCCAGATGTCCTTTGGATGGGACCCGACTTTAGACACTTTAACTCCATTTTACCCTTCCAGTTTATTTTCATGTATTTTAACTCTCTAGATATGTAAACTTCCAGAAGAGACTGTTGTTTTTGTTGTTATGTGCCGTCGAGTCAGACCCGACCTATAGCAACCCCTCTTTGGGTTGCCGAGGCAGTATCACTATGGAAGTAGATTGCCAAACCTTCCTTCCAAGGAGTGGCTGGTGGGTTTGAACCGCCAGCCTTCTGGTTAGCAGTCAAGTGCCTTAGGCACTATGCTACCAGAGCTTTGCCTACATATTTGCCAGTACCATTGTTCTTTCTTTCTTTCTTGCATCTATGCACTTCTAGCTGGGACTGTATTTTTCTGCCTGAAGAAAAATCTTTAGTATTTCCTTTAATTTGTATGTTTTGGTGACAATTTTGCCTATAATTTGTTAAGTTAAAATGTTTATGTCTTCCTCTTTTGAAACATAACTTCTTTCTAGGTGTGGAATTTAGTCTGGCAATTATTTTCCTTCTACAGTTTCAAGATATAATTCACTCTCTTTAAGCTACCATAGTTTCTCTTCAAAGGTTAGATGCTAGTCTGATATGTTGCTCCTTTGAGGGTGGTCTTTTCCTCCCTCTATCAGCTTTGAATATATGCTCTTTTTCTTTGGGTTTTAACAGTATTACTATAATAGGCCTTCATTTAGTTTTACTCCTACCTCTCAAGGCTTGGCATACATAGTACTTCTTGAATCTGTGATACATCTTTTGTCAGTTTTGGAATCTTCTCAACATGATCTCTTCAAATATTGTTTCTGCACTGTTTTTTCTCCTTTCTGAGACTCCAATTAAACATTTGCTATAATGATTCACCATACCACCTGAATTCTCAGCCTCTCTCTGTACGTATGTATCCTCCATAATATTCTGTCTCCAGGTGTTAGTCTAGATATTTTCTTCAGACTTATCTTTCATTTATCTTATTCTCCAGTCAGCCAGGGACATCCTTTGACCCTGGAACATAACACCACACACTCAGGTACATTGTGTTCCCCACCTAGAGCACAGGAAGGAAGAGAGGGTTACAAACATAAAGAACTTGCCCCATGTCCCCCACCTGAAAAAGGCAGAGCAGGGACTAACATCCCAGAATGGATCCTCTGCTGAAGCCCTTCCCACTGTGCTTGCTCTCTCCTGGGCTGCAAATGCTCCTCACCTCTCATCACTGAGATAGTAGAGTCTTCCAACTTTCTAAGCACTGTTATTCTTCTTTCTAACTATAAGAAGCAGTCATGTTGCTTCATTAGCTATGATAGTATCACAGAACTTTGCTCTAGCATTCAGATGACCATTGATACGTATTCTATCTTATTTGGCTTTTGTTAGCCTTGTTTTAATCTGTTTTTCCTAACTTCAGCGAATAGTGACAGACATACCTCATTTCAAAGAAGAGGTCGCTGCTATGGTGTTTTCCAAGGGGAACATGGAAGTTGGTCTGAAGAAGTCAGTTCTGGCATTCAAACTCCAACCTCCCAGGAACAAGGTGGATATATGGCAGTGAGTGACACCTACGTGGGCTCCAGAGTAAGACCGTAAGTGACCAGTCAGCATGGTTGCATGTACCAGCCAATGGAATCTGTAACTCTGTATGTAACTATGTCATTCTGTTCCTTCTCTCCAGCTTGGCAGAGTGAGGAAAGCTAGGATCAGATTGGTGGTTGAGCAAACTTTATTTTAGCCCTAGTATCAGTGAACAAAGTGTGTAGAAGAATTTCTTAGCATTTACTAATGCCTTCCTTCTCTCCACTTCCCCATAGCACCCATTATGGTGGTCGGTTCTACTACAGGAGAGACCCATGGCCTCACCAAGGACAATGGCATGCTAATATGGACATATGGAAAGAGAAAATTCCTCCAGAGGGAACAGTGCTGGAAAGGGGGCAAAATGAAACCCCTCAAGATTGGTTCAAGATCACAGTGAGTATCCTTGCAAAATACATGGAATGTGCAGGGGATGAAAGAGAGGTCAGATGGAGATGTGTTGATCTCCTGTAGAGACAGTACATAGTTTTCTGGGGAGAGGTAGGATTGAATCACTATGAGTTAACATCCTTGCTCATCTAAGGGCATGTTCAGAGAAGCCATATAAAGACAAAAGGTGGACTACGAAGGACAGGGAGGTTGTCTGAAGGCAAAGGTGGGAACTTTTACTACCAAGGAGGTGGAGCAAGTCCCCACTGGATGTTTCAGTTTGGCTCATGCTGTGGAGGGGGCAAATCTCTGGAGTCAGAGGAGCAGGCAGGGTCTACATTAGGTAAGCACTCCTGGAACCTTATAACAGGAAGATCATGTTAAACGTCTTAGTTGATTTTCTGGAGGAGAGGTTTTAGAGTGGCGAGAAAGAGAATTTAGGAAATCCGTATTTGGCACAAAAATAAGAAATTATGTCAATGGTTCCTTCTTTAGAAGTCATTTAAAGTTCAGTAGGTCAGAAGAGAACACTTGGTGGGGTCTACCCTCCAGCCTTAACTCCATGTTGTCATTCTTCTCTTCTACCCTTCTTTTCACACTTAGATTCCTTATGGGAGAAAGTATGACAAGACTTGGCTACTGAATTCCATCCAGAGCCACTGCACAGTTTCCTTCACTCCAGTTGATGTAAGAAAGGACAGTGATGCCAAATGATTGAGTAGAGGGGAGGAGGGTGGCCTGGATCAGCAGAGACCTTTAGCCTCTGATGCTATTATTGTTGTCTCTGTTCCCTGTAGTTCCACTATGTAATAATGCAGGTCAAGTTCTTTGTCCAGGATGCTAGCGCTGCCTCTGCATTAAAGAACATCAGGATTTATGATGCAGAGAACCAAAAGGTGTGTGTCTTAGTTATCTTGTGCTTAGTTATCAAGTGGATGGCTGTAACAACCAGAAATTTATTCTCTCGCAATTTAGGAGGTTAGAAGTCCAAATTCAGGGCACCAGCTCTAAGGGAAGGCTTTTGTTTTCTATCAGCTCTGGGGGAAGGTCTTTGTCATCAATCTTCCTGAGTCCAGGAGTTTCTAAGCACAGGGACCCCAGTTCCAAAGGACACACTTGCTCCTGGCTCTTCTTTCTTGGTGTTAGGTGGTCCCACTCTCTCTGCATGCTTCTCTCTCCTTTTATCTCTATAAGATAATAGGTGATGCAGGTCACACCCCAGGGAAACTCCACTTACATAGAGTCAGAGCTGTTACCTGCTTAAGGGTGTGGCATCATACCCTAATCCCCTTACCACTGATTGGTTGATCACATCAGATCACATCATGAATGATGATTACATCATCATATAACTGCCAGACCACTGAGAATCATGGCCTAGCCAAGTTGACACATAATTTTGGGGGACACATTTTAATCCATGACAGTGTGTGTCAAAGTGACTATACCTAGTTCAGGGGCAGGAGCATAGACCAGTGGCTGGACCATTTCTTTGGGACTAGAGTTCCTGGTACTTAGCCAGCATCTCTTTCCCACAGATAAATATTTTTGTCAATTCCTCTGTTGTACCCTATTCTATGCAGAATAAGCTGGGGCCAGAACAAGTTGAGCAACTAAAGGTAACACAGACAGGGCCGGGGGCTGGAACAGGTAAAGCGGGAGGGGGACAGCCCCAGGTGGCAGGGAGCAGTGGCAGACAGGGCAGGCAGGAACAGGTATAGGGTAGCCCAGGAAGTTAGCAGAGCAGTTGGAACAGCAAAGGGAGATGAACTTGTCTGTTGGTTTGTTATACTGTGGTGGCTTGTGTGTTGCTGTGAGGCTGGAGACTGCCAGCAGGGGTGCCAATGGGGACCAGTTTCGGTGGAGCTTCCAGACTGAGACAGACTCAGAAGAAGGAAGAGGCCATCACCTTCTCAAAGAATTGGTGAGTGAAAACCTTATGAATAGTAGTGAAACACTGTCTAATATAGTACTTGAAAATTTTATGAATAGCCCTGAAACATTGTCTAATATAGTGCTGGAAGATGAGCCCTTCAGGTCAGAAGGCACTCAAAATATGACTGGGAAAGAGCTGCCTCATCAGAGTAGAGCCTACCTTAATGTTATGGATAAAGTAGAGCTTTTGGGGCCTCCATTTGCTAAAGAGGCATGACTCAATATGAGAAGAAACAGCTACAAACATCCATTGATAATCAGAACATGGAATGTACAAAGTATGAATCTAAGAAAAACGGAAGTTGTCAAAAATGAAATGGAATGCATAAAGATTGATATCCTAGGCATTAGTGAGCTGAAATGGATCAGTTTTGG